AGAGAGAGAGAGAGAGAGAGAGAGAGAGAGAATAAATGTCAAAGAATATTATTAAGAAATACAGGATCTAAAACACTTAAAACCTTGAAAATATTAATCAAAACCAAAATATTTAATTGTATTTTATTTCATTTAATTGCAGATTTGGAAAGAGAAGTTTAAGGAGTCTATTGAAGTTGCCATCAAATAATGTAAGTAAATATAAATTATAGTAAAATAAAAATGAACATGATTAAAAATAGTATCATATTTGGTGTTTTCCAATTATGAACACAATATAAACCCCACTATTATAAGAATCATATTTCCGTTCAGATTCTAATCCCAGAATACAATGAGTGATCATTTTTTTCGTTTTAACAAAAATAATATAGAAATTTATTTGAAAAAATTGTTGCCCAACACATGTCTTGAATTCAAATAATTGACGTAAACATAAAACTAATATTATTTATAAATAGAAATACAAATTTTATTGGTAAATATTAGATAGTAATTAGGAAATATTTATTATTTAAAATAATATTATTAATAAATTTATAGTCATTTTAATATTTTTATTAATATAAATGTTTTTTACATTACAGGACAACAAAGACCAGTCCTCGCAATTCGAGTAAAAATGTTTTTATAAAACTTTTATTCAACAATAAATACAGAAGTGTTTGTATTTAAAGGGAATTTCAAGTAAAGTAAAAATTGACGAAATCATCAAAACATGAATACATTTGTCTCACAAGTATTGATCCATTTAATTGTTAACCGAATCTTCTAATCATTGACTGATTCATTGAAAGCAGTCTTTATTTTCATTTATTCTCTACTTTTTATTATTTATTTATTTATAATTTATTGATTTATACTCTGATTATGTGTTTTAAATAATGTTTAGAATCTAATTGTATGTAATATTGACATAAAATGTTATGAATTTATCATTAAAGACACTTTAACAACATTTTATAATTATTTAATAAAATTGACTTTCATTTTCTTTAATATAATATATAATATTTCAATTCAATAAAATGATTGCTGGAAACATAGGTTTGAGTCTTGTGTCAACAAAATCTTACTTTGTGTTAAAGAAGATAGTTCAAATAATGTGTTGCCAATCAATTTAGTGTTACCAAGCTAATAAATATAGATTAGCATATTAGTTATAAATCTCAAAGTCTATTTAGGATTACATAATAAAACTGTTATTGTATAATTATACATAATAATTATAAAATACATAATTAAAAACAATTGGCGACTTTGTACTTGTTATCAATACTATAAATTCTCACGTTTATAACATGGTATAAGATAATTATAAGCCGAGTACATCGTATGGCAAATATAAAGTACAATATCGAGAGATCTTAACAATTGACCTATTGTTTTGTACTTCAAGTGACTTGTGTTGGATACAAAAAAACGAAAAATCTAAGTAACATCACAGGTATGTAAAGGTGGGCAACAAATCAATCATAATTCTGTCTATTTTTAAATTTAAGCTATAATAATATTTAAGACAATATTTAACCCGATTTAACATAAATTTTGTTATACGACGCGTGTCTATAAACAGCTTTTAAATAGAAAGTAAATTTTGCATAAATATTTGCCTCCATATCCTCGAGGGTTATAATTCCCGGATTTCAATCATTGAATTAAGAATTTATGCCTAATTTTCAGTTCAAAGAATTAATTCAACGATAAATTAATGATTAATTTGCGAACATTTCATTAATTTATAGATTGTTTTGTCAAATGTTTAAAAACAAATTAGCGCCTAATATATTTTTAATCATACTTTTCACTAATATATGACATTTGAATCTTTAAATTAGACGTTAAATAATCAAAATGTATTTAAATAATCAAAATGTCAAACAAATGGGAAAAATGAATTTATTAAAAGATTTCATGCAAATGAATGACAATTAGTCTAAATATAGAAATTGATTATTAAAACCAAAATCTGAAATATACTTTTAATAGTAAATGTGTTAACTTTTATATTAGCTTTACTATACAGTAATGTAATAATATTGTACTGTATATGGAGTTTTATAGTCTATTAGATTGCAATAAGTATTAATATAATACAATAAGTATCAAAACTTAGATCAAAGTAAAAAGTTTTTGGCTTTTAATCGTATTAAGAGTTGTGCAGTGAGTTTGTGAAACGTGTTTGACGTAAGTCTCAAAACAATCCACACTTTCTGTGTTCACTTTGCGGTCAAATTCCTAACAATTGTTTACATCTTATATGTGTCTCATTTATTTGGCAATTTAGGCAAATAAACTATAATATAACGAAACAATATCATTAAAACCTATAATCAATCACAACTAGATTTTCAAGAATTTTTTAGTTATTCAAATTTTAAAGAAAATTTATACTAAATTTTAATATAAACTTTAAATTGGTTCACATCTTCCTATCAATAATAATAATTATACATAAAATTATTGCTCAATTATATTCTCAGAACAAACATTTTAATCAAACCTAATTAATATGGTTGGATGTGTTATTTAATTAAGTCATGAGACAGTTTATAAAATAACAAAGTTTCAGTTAGATTTATTACACAACCAGAGTGAAATCAATTGTACAGTGTGAAAACAGTTTTCAACAAGTTAACATTCAACATAATAGGTATATTCTATGTAAAACACAATGATACTAATATTACACGGTATAAATAAAGTCACATACAGTAATATTAATTAATAAATCGTAATATTTATTAAACTAATTAAAAAATTACATTATTTGTATATTATACTTAATTTTTATATTTGTATATTATACTTATATAATATAGGTTATAAGTTATATTAATGAAAGTATCAAGAAAAGTAATGAGTTACTTTATGTTATTGTACAATGTACATTATTACCATTTCAACAAATTGTATTAATATACTGTAGTATTTAGTATTTAGTTAGTATAAGTATAAATTATATCAATATAACAATCAACGAAAAACATAATAATCCAAGAAATGATAAGTTTAGTAAACTCCATCTATTTAATAAACATCTGGCTCATTTTTAAATTAAAGTTTTATATAAATAAAAATCTAACAAAAAGTTAGTTTTTATTGTAAAAATAAAAATATATTTAAAATTGCTTAACAAAATGCAATAAAATATTCTTATTATCAATAGTAATAAAAATAAAATACTACAAAACGACAGAATCTATCGGACAGATAATTAATGAAAATTGTAGTTAATTTTATTAAAAAATACTGTATTCTGATATTTAATCAATTTAAATTAGTAAAACTGTTAAACTAATAAAAGCCATTAAATAATGTTAATATTACAATAAATTAATAAGTTTGATAAATCTCATTTAGACTTCTACTAAATTTTATGAATGTCTAAATGATTTATCAACAAAAGAGTCAAAATGATTAATTTTAACCACAATTTTGCATAGAATAATGTGGTTTATAGGATCGTTTGAATTAGTGATTGAAATGGTACTGGTGTTGCGATACAAGCGGTACTAACGATACTAGAGGTACAAACCGTACTAAAGGTACTACATGTATCAAAGTAACCAATAATAAACATGATTAATATGTGATTATTTTATTAATAATTTAGTGATCCTATGAACAGTGTTATGTCTATGGCTAGTCTATAAGACTCATATTAAATCTATGGATAATGCTAATCTATTCTATGATTATCACTCAAAGTGGTTAACGCATAGCATCGCTGTGTGGAGTCGTTTAGTTTAAAGAAATGATCGAATAATTGACTGCAATTGAAGTCAAGTGAAGGCAGCACTCAATGGGTTATAACTTATAAGAATAATTCATGTTTCAAATTATATAACAAATAATGTGTTTAATATAAGCCTAGAGACAGCGCTAGTGTCTCTCATCCTTAAGAATTAGTACTTAAAGTAAAATAGAATTACTTTTTTTCGGTAAAATATATCAAAGATGCTGAATATGCAAATATCTAGATAATAACTGTACACATTGGCTTAATTTCTCTAACCATAAGTTATAATATTGATGTGAGTGGGAGTCTCGAGATTTTTGTTTTAAAAATGTGTAGTAATATAATATAATATAATAATATATCAAAACTTCAAATGATTAAATTCAAAGGAATAGGTGTCGGGAACAGTGATGTTTAAGAGTCACTTATATCACTATTGCACCAAATCTATTGTATTTTGTGGTTTAATTTATCACTTGTATAACTATTATTAGCTAATTATAGATGTACGAATTTATTCGTACATTTTTATTAAAAAATATATTACAATGAATTTGTACAAAATGTTCTTGAAACATTAAGACGATTAGTTTTAGTACATCTAAAATAAGATTATTTTTGAACATATTGACCAATATTAAGCGATTTTATGTAATTTAAATAAATTGCGTAAATATTTTTAAAAATATTAATTGATTTAAAACTATGTTTCATATGTCAAATTGGATCATGGAAACATTTAATGGATAATTAACAATTAAGTTAAATTAATTAACAGTCTCTACATTTTGACCATGTTACATTTAAAATTATTGGTCAAAAATATTTTTATTTGTACAGTACCTGTAATCGGGATATGTATCACTGTATACTTACATTGGAGACTATTCTATTAAATAATTATTTTGTAGTTAATCTAAATTAATAAAAATGCGATGAAAACAACAATTTTTCAAACAAATAATTTTGTAATCAAAGATAATGTCATTTTTATAATTTTTAATATTTATTAAATGATAGGATTTTAAATTTTAAAGCGTTTTATTGATAAGTAAAATAATGAATTACATGTTTTATAAAATGCACGACAAACATAAATAAACATAACATAAATTTTAATATTTAAAGTAAATGTTCAAAAAATAATTAAATGAATATTGTTTTTAAAATAAAATTAATTTTGTGATATATTTGTCACATGTATATCAATATATAACTGAACGCCGATTATTCTCTGATTCTTATCGTCATTTTGTATGAAAATTTCGAAATTCTTGTTTATAATAAGTTAATAAATGAATGATTAAAATATTTAGTTTAATATTAATTTGATGAATAGATAGTGAAATTGTATCTTGATATATAATTCACTTAAATATATGCTTTAAATAGTAAACAGAATTGGATATACAAAGTATAATAAATGATAATACAATTGTACGGCTTATGTATATCCAACTGACTATTCCGGCGGACCTTTATTTACAATAAACATTGTATTTATATATGGATTTGGTTTTCACTTTTGATTGTTTCCATTAAATTAAAATTTTAACACATTTTTATTGTTTTCAAAATTAAACAAATATAACAGGAAATGTGATTTCAATAACTTTAATCATTAACAATAAATATCAATAAAGTAAATATTTTTGTTCATTTGTGTGAAAATTTAACTGAATTTCTCTGCATTACTATCGGAAGCGATCGGACCCGAAGAGTTCCACAGGGGATCCGCTCGACGACCAAATCTCAATCTATTTATAATAAAAATATAATATATATAATTGTTGCAATGTTTAAAATGACCATGTAATAATACCTGAGTTGTGGGGCCCGCCCGCCCTTCCTCTCCATTTGATGCACAAATTGATTGGGCGTTTGAAGCGCTTCATTGCGTAACAGTATTTCATAGAGATCTCGCAAATCTATTATATCATAAATTAAGATCATATTTAGACCATTATTTTATTTGTATTTTTAAAATGTTTTATTTTATTATAACTCTAAACACAAATTATATTTATGAAGGAATTAATATTTTCTTATAACTCAGAAAATTATTATTATTGTTATTATTTCAATGACTTTAAGTCTAGTTTATATTGTATTAAATAACTTTTGAGTTACAATTATAGGGGATTAAATTCTTACATTGCTAGTAATTGTTTTAGTTTTTAACTTAATATTAACTTATTTTTTGTTTTAATACCAAATCTAATAATATTTGTAGACAAAATCGATACTCATTTCATATCATTTTTGGGTTTAAAAGTTGCGAAACTAAATCTAAAACAGATTAAATGTATATCTCATTGAAACCTATATTGTGTAATATGAATGGTCTGTAACAATAACTGGTTGTCAAGCATTTAAATAATCAATTAATTAGAAAACTCTAAATTTGAAGAGCGATTAAAACGAGAATAAATAGCAACAAATGGGACGTATGTCTAGAATTCTTTAAGTTTTATAATTAAGTTTCAGATTATAAAAATTTAATTGATTTTGTGATGTCATTGTTGTGTTGCAAAATATGACATTATATTACAGTATATGTATCTTAACGTAGAGTTTTACTGGAGTTTGATATGAAGGGAATATTTTTGAAAATAACAAAATAACTTAATTGTCTGCTCTTATGGACAAAAATAATTGAATTTTATTCATTTTTAAAAACAACTTATTTTTCTTGTGCTATATTTAAGACATGCTATAAATTAAATCACAGTATATTTTTAGGCCATAATTTACAACAAATAATTAGTGAAATGAAGATATATTAACGACAAACAAACAGTTTATGTAAACAATTGTTACCATTAATATAGAAATATAGCAAAATATGAAATATAATTACAGCTATATTTAGATTCACATTAATTACTGTTTGTTTGCTCACAAAATTCAACCCAAAAGAAGACATTGAGTTCATGGAAAGTATGGCATTCACTACAAGTCGTGCGTTATTTAAGTTCTTTCAAAATAATGCCATTCATTTGAACCAAAGATTTCAATTCAATGTAAACTTACTTTTAGAGAATAATGGGGTTTATTATTCTCAATACAATTACAATTGTTAGTCTTTATACAATTATTAGAAACATTTTGGATTAAAAATTTCTGAAATAATAATAAGCGCGGAGAG